GTGGCGAACGTTGCTGGCGCTTGGCTTCCCCCGACAATACGGGGTACTGGACCTTGGTACCACGATGAGGTGGCCGGCATCACCAAGGGGTTGTTCTGTCTAATCAGAGGCTTTCGAGTAGGGTCCAGAAGGAAGTTGAACATTACCGTCCCATCTCTTACCATTCCCGCCAAGCGGCGGAGTCGCTGCGAGGTGTGAGATTCTGAACTTGCCACTTTCGTAAGTGGAATGCTGATTTGATGGAGAAATCATTATGAATTGGGAACACCCAATTGAGTGGGTTCGACAGCTCGGAGAAAGAATGGAGACTTTCTGTGAAATTGTCCGATTCTGTTCCTTTCTGACCCATATCGACTTCGGAACAATGGAAGACAATGGAGGGAAGGTGATACGTAGAACATTCCAAGAATTCAAATCAGACTGTTTGCCTCATGTTGTCACCTCTCCAAGTGATAAACGTAGGAAGCGAGTGTTATCTGATAGTTCGCGTTTTTCAATTATGACCGTCATTCAGATTTCTGCATGGTGGGAGACTCAAGAAAAAGGTATAAAACCACACACAAGAAAGTAACTTAGTATGAACTAGAGAAAGGGATCTTATAAAAGCGCCCTTAACCCGCCTCCCGTGCCAGGGGGCGTAGAGGGTTGGGTTGAATGGGCCGTTCGGAACTTGTGCTTTCCAACAGCATATCTTACAAGAATGGAAGAGCCAAGGCGAAGGACACGATACGTTTTCAGTTTTCACAAGAGTTCTTTAAATGCCCGCAAAGCCAACAGGACTATTCGAGCCTCAGTTTGCATGATGAGAGGCAGGGGTGTTTTCCAACGGCCCCCCAGAGTCTTTATTTTAACAGTGTCGGGCAAACAAACCACACCCCAGCCGCGCGTCCATGCATCGGTTATCAGCGTCACCATTATTCACCCCAAAGGTCCGATGATCCATTAGTTGTTACCCACCAACTTCGAACGCAGTGCGTTCCCAACTTCTATTGACTTCGGGCGAAGATGAGCATGTAATGAGATCCGCACCATTTCTCCATCCAAGGCCGATGACCTCCGTCGAACGTCTTTTCAAAAAGAAGCAACATGAAAAAAATGCTAAACCAAGCACATCCGCAGCGTGGAGGAAACCGGATGCTAACACGTCCATGCTGACGACCGTTATTTCCATTAGTGGTGGAAGATCCACCCAGTGGCTTTGAGCATTCTTTACTGAGCCACACGGAGTGACCTTCATGGTTAAAACAAATACCCAAGTAGGTGTGCTGATGGATCCCGGACTCCCTGTCTTCCATTTGTTGCGCCACACCCAGCCGCGCACAGGCAGACCTCGTCTTCCCATGCGAGAACATCTTGCCATTTGCCCAAGGGGCGAATGCTGCCCATCCATGTGCCCACTCGTATATCCGAGGACGCTGCCCATTTCGGGCCAACCACCATCACTACTCCCGTTGCTGCCGAAGTCCAAAATATGCAACATATCTGGGCTCGTCTAGTACCCCAGTGGGCCATTGGGTCAGCCCCATGACAATGCCACCCACCACTCGGCACTGCAAAAGATGCTGCGCTCTCACCGGAAGGGCAAGCAGAACGAATAAAGCCCGGACATCCGCGCGTGACGCCGCCACCGAAAAGGCCACTGGAAAAACATTCCAAGACGACATATAACGGCACGACCGCCACCCAGGGATCCTCCGCTTTCTTCTCCTGCAGTCACAAAAACCCACCGACCCCACGGCCACGTTGAGACGTTGAAAACTTGAAACGCCGGGGTGTTGGCCTCGTCCTCCCCTGAAGCATCATCACCGACACGATGTATCCCGCTGTGTGGCACCGCTGGTGGTCCAACAAAACCTCCGAAGTCTCCTCCCCAGCAAGGTACTCAGGGCAGACCTCCGTGGAGCACCCACCCCTCACTTGCCGGGGGGGGGGCCTAACGGTGCTCCTGTTGTGGATGTACGTCAGTCCCAACATCTCTATTTGTGAATAAACCCCTCCGGTGGAAGACTCCACTCTGACTAACAAGCCTATTGCCCTATCGCCTATGTTTGGTGCAACCGTTCCCCTCCTTCCTCGAGATAACTACGCGTTTGGGCTACGCCAGCTACAGCGTTATTGTAGTCTGTTTAAAAAATTCTGTCGGCCTCGTTGAGTTGCTGCTGCTGGAAGGTGGCTGCGTTTTCGCGGGTTGATGGCACATTGTGGGCGTTCTAAACTTACTGATTGAGCACGGCAGAAAGAATGTCCAGTTCAGCTCGTACCACACCACAATCCTTACTTACGTTTATCCACTGAATCGCTAAGACACTCTTCTCACGCAGCATTTCTCGCGCCTCATTCAGGAATGGTACCACGCAAATCGGCTCCATCTTTAAGACGGAAGGTGCCTTCTAATCCGCCATATTCTTGAGAACTGAAGAATCGGCCCAAAGTCTTGTCTCAAATTGATCCTTTATGGCAGGGCCCGAAGGACTACACATGACAGTCCCCTCATAGTGGCGGCACCCTTGTTTATTAACGACCGTGAATGTCACTGACTTATCCCTTTCATGCCGCATTGGGTCGGCAACACGATCACCCACCCCCCGCCATTGATCAGGTGGATATGGAAGTATGGCTATTACAAAACTGGCGGATGATAATTATATAATGCTCACATTTATTCTGGACCCTACTCGAGAGCTCTTGATTAGACAGAACAACAATGGAATAAACCCCCCTCAGAAGTAAATTATATAGGCAACATTCAGACACACATTCTTCTCAGAAGCTCCCAGAATGCTGTGCTCCCACAAACGCCTCCAAGCGCTTAAGAACATAAGCATTGAAAGGAGAAATGCCCAACAAACGACACGAGGAATAACACACACACGCACACACACATCCTCCACACAGCAGGCCACCGCCCACTGTGTCACGCCGCAGTCATACAACGCCTCAACGCCACTCACAGAACGTTTCACTCCTTCGCCGTTTTCTTCCGCAACACCTCAAGCGGTTTGCATGTGGGGCACGGCGTATAGAGCGCATCAACCGCCCGCAGCGCAGCCTCTTCCATCGCAGCCGCAACACGCCGCCCACCGGCACGGTGAAACAGGACGCCAGCTGCACTCACATAGACAACGGCCTCCTCGTCAACGTTCGCCCAC